GATCAAACAGTACGATCAAAATTATTAAAATAAAGTATATTCAATTAATTAATCACAGGATAAAATTATGCAATAATTTAAGCATCATAGGATATAATTTTGGTTTGTATAGTATAAATATAATATATTTAAAATTCAATTTTTTTACCTAATTTAAAGAACGATTGGGTCTCTGAGTATAACAGATCATCTAGTTCGATGTGGTATTTATACTGTACGATTAGGTATGTTTCAAAAAATTTTCTCAAAAAAAATAAAATATTTAATTAATTTCTATAATAATAGTTTATATAGTATGATCTATATCACATAGTATGATGTACACCAAATTTAAATATTTAAAATTAGTTTTTTCCCCTTGTGTATGTGTACACGGTCACCAGACCAGCATACACTCATATAAAACTTGATTCAATAAATCAAAAATAAATAAATGAATATGATAGAATTTTTCAACACACCCTATTCTACTTAATCTTAAGCCTTGAATCTTCATTAAATGGTGCATGATGTAATTAAAAAGTTAGTACACAAATAAATAAATATGCACCAAAAATAATAGGAGAAATAAATAGGAAATTAATAAAATTTGTTATCATCAAATCATAAACTCAGGGAGCCCAATTTATAACACCATCAATATGACCCAAACCTCTAAAGGCTGGCTTTATTTCAGTTTAGCACATTTATTACTTAGCAAGAATAGTAGCGAACTTATTCATGATCAAGAACTATTAAACTATACTATTTAAATGGGGTATTACATTGATGTAGGGAAGCTAGTTTTCTCTTCTTTCAAGTACATCATAAGCTGTACCATTTCTATTGAGTTATGGCACCCTTCTCTTTTTTATGCTTTGTGTGTTGCAGCAGGTATAAAGGGGAAATAAACTAAAACATAATTATTCTATATTTCATCCCTTACAAAAGAAAAAATATTGGTATTTAAGAAAGTTGAGAAAGAGGAGGAAGAAGGAGACCTTAGTGAGCCTAGAGTGTCTAAGAGACCTAGTAGCAAGAGCAACACTATTAGGAGTGTTAGCATTCTTAAAACCTTGGGATATCAGGTGGTTCAGTTAAGAGGGAACTTAGAAGAACTACTCAATTCTATGTGGAAACTAAGGATTTTCATTTTGAGAAGAGACAAGGATGTCCCACAACATGGATCAACAGGAAAAATATTTTAGATTCACCACAAATTTTAATGCTAGCTATTGTTGGAATGTTTAGAATTATCCCTTTTGTGGAGTATCCAGATATGCTTTAATTTCAATCTACAGCTTCTTATGATCATTTTATTTAGAAGCATGCTGAGAGAAACCATGATAATGATTATCAATAAGGAGGAAGACCAAGATTCAGATAGTTAGGAGTCAATTTTATTTGGCTTTAGGGGGGAAAGAGAGAGAGAGAGAGAGAGAGAGACTGAATGTAACTTTTTATTGTGTAGCATGTTTTTATTTTATTTCTTTTCTTTAGTTATGGGGATCCTAGTGACATGTTGGAATGCTATTATTATATTAGCATATTAATCATATATGGCTAATAAAGCTATTATAGTTATATTGGTGCTTTAAGCACTAATTATCTAATACCATGTGTTATATATATACAGTGGTGGAGCCAAAAATTTTATTCAGGGGGGCCTAAATTAAAATAAATTTATTTGTTGTCTCATTATCGGAGCCAAGCAAAGTTGTAAGATCAAAATTAATAATGCAAATAACATGGTCATTAGAGCTTAGAAGAAATAAATATCTGCCACCATCGGTCTCCATTTGGGGGCGAGAGAGGAGCGAAAGGGAAAACAAATGTCATGCTCGAGGCCGTGAGTCGCGAGTCATGAGAGGGAGCAAAGCAAAAAACGAATCATATCGTTAGGGTCAAGGGCTAAAATTTACTCGAGATTCTTTAAAATATTTTCATTTCAGCTAAAATTTAATACAATTTCAACTAAAATTTACTCAAGATTGAATAGACTGTCGATGTTGATTCCCTTGATCATGGACAGTTTATTAGGCATTTGAATGTCTTAATGATATCCAAATTTGACAATCTTGGGCTCGTTGGATTCGTTTAGTCAAGTCGCTTGATTCAACTATAAGCATGCATATTTGGAACCTATTTTTTAATCCAAATTATGGATTGAACCTTCCAATTAAGCTTTGGGTTTTTAATGGACTCGTTTGGGCTTGGATTAAATTGAATTTGGTGTCATTGGGTTTGTATTTTTTAGATGTTTAATTTGGCTATAAGTTTGTTGAAATCGGAGTTCGGATGGTCTCCGATTTAATTTTTGAAACTTCCAACTTAAATAATTAATTTTTTATGTTTTTTTAGGGGGGTACTTGCCCCCCCTTCTCTCTGCCCTTGTATATATAAATATGTATCTCTTGCTCTACATTTCTCTCTCATTCATATAAAAATATGTGTTATTTACTAATATTCATTTGTATTTTTGTTTATATTTGATTAAATTCCCTTTGTACTTAAAATTTTAAATTATGTTCCATTAACAACTCTACATTTGTATTATTTAATTAATCCTAATTAAAATGATAATTAAAAATTATGTGAAATTTGAATAATAATAATAATTATTATAATAAAACATATCCCATAATTCAAATGAACAATGCTTTATAATTCATAGAATGGAAAAACTACTAATAACCTAACTTACATCATTTAAATTATTGTTTTAACTTGAATTTATAAGTTATATATTTATTCATTGACCTTTGAATTGAAGATGAATAATTAAAATTAAAGAATTGATATAAATAGTTTTAAATTGAAAATAATAACAATCTGAATTTAGAATTGGTGATTTAACTAAATCCTTACATTAAAATTATTAAGATTGTAAGAAGATTTTATGCTAAATTGTTAATCAAAATTATTAACTGTGCAGACCACAAAAATTAGAAAGGTAAAAGAAATGTAAAAATATTTTTAAAAAGAAAATAATAGAAAAGAAGAAAAATAAAGAGAGTACATTCAAAAATTGGTATCAGGTAAAAGCTTAGAGTTTAACTACAATCTTATACTAAAATTCATAAATGATAAGTTAGGAGAACTAATACAAATATTGGTGAAGTGATAAAATTTCAATTTTAATTATAACACATATAATCTTTATGTTATATTTTTCAATTCTAAATTCAAAAATCAATGATTATTTTTATAACATGTAAATCCAAATTAAATAATAATAAAGGTGACTAGTTATGATAATTATTTTCATTATTCCAAACTAGAATTATAACTTTGTTCATTTTCACTACATTTAGATTATGATATATTATCCTATATTTTTAAATTATAAATTTTTTACTTTGATTATCTCATTAGTCTAAGTTGCAATTTCTTTATTTTCCTTAGGACAAGAAAGACTTTTAGCCAAGGAGAATTTGATAATTATAAATTATGTATTATTTTATATGTTTTAATTTTAGTAAAAATATATTATTTTAGTTATTTTTTGTTGGGACAACCTAAAATTGGCATAAATTCTAAGTGGCCTACATTGTTGCAGCATCTAATTGAATAACTTCACAGTACCACCTTCAATACCATCGAGGGGCCAAAATTTGTACATTAGGCACTGAGTTCTCTATTTGTAAGCACTCAATGGTAACACATCCAATGTCACAACATTACCGACAACATGGCATCAAAAAGTCAGCATGGTTGTGCAAAATTCTCTATTTTCAAATACTGCAGCACCATAATTTCTCATGCCTTGGTGTCATTTTTTTTTTGCTTGGGTGTCGTGATGCTCGAATGTGAATAGCATTATGGTGTTCCAGTTATAAGGGCCAAGTTCTATAAGTGATGAGATGTGACTATTCATTAAGTAATCGATCCACATCACGAAGCATCATTGCAGTGCAAAAATTTCAACGCTAAGGCATTAGCTCACTTTAATAGCACTGCGATGCCACTCTTTTAATTATCGCAGTTCTCCATGCCTTTTTGTATTGTTCTATAAATAGTTATGATGCTATGTTGGTAAGTGAGTTTAGTTACTTGTGTAAAATTCAAAACATCTTTTTAGACTACTTATCTAGTTCTTGCTAAGAATAAAATCTAATGGAGGCTAGGGAAGTATAAGATATAAATATTTAAAGTGTTTAGCCTATATTTATTGAAGAAAGTCTATAAGTTAACGGAGAATGAGTGTAGAGGAGATACTTTGATCATTTCTAGTGATATCACTCTCTTGTATTTTCATTCTTTCATTAGTTTATTAAAAATGAGTTTGCATGTTATTAATTATATGTATGACTAATTCTCTTATTTAAGATTTATGATGTAAAGTGCATGTTGAGTACTAATGAAGAATATTATTCTATAAATATTAAATAACATTTTTAATATTACCAAGTTCTTAATTTAATGCATGTAGTTGCCATATGTGTAATTAAAATATAATATGATATATAGCCTTGATGGAGGAATACAAGAACAACCATGAATAATGTAATAGGATGTTTGCATGCCTAAACATAGAATGTAAAATATTCTAGGATCTTAAGGAGTTACTATAACTATAGGAGGTCATCAGATATCTTATTCACCTTTACAAGCTCGATAGAGATCTAGGGATACATATAATTTTAATTATATCTATAATTAAGGGACTCATTAGAAAATTATCAACTTTATACTTTTCAATCCAAATCAATTTTATTAAATGTTATATCCAATATTTTTACTATTTTATTCAGTGATAGAATCTCCATAATTATTATTTTTTATTTTAGTAGGCTAATTATTATAATTAGAGTAAATAATGTTATTTTATTATAAATAAGCATAACTTCCTCATGGGGTCAACACTCTACTCTATCACTTTCTTACTTGATTCGATACGTATACTTACATATATTTAGTGTGGTTTTGTTATTTTTATATCAAAGAAAACCTAAGAATTATGTATAGATGATAGAGCCCTAATTTTTTATACAATTCAAAAGTTTACTCCAAAGCTCCCATCATTATGATGAGGGAATTTCTTAAGAATTTCCTTAAATCTCTCCTAACTTTCATAAATTGACACTCCTTTAAACAGAGAAAAAGATGTGATATCATTCCTAAGCTTCGCAGTTCTAGAAGGTAGGAAATTTTTAGCTAGAATTTTATGTGACAACTCATTCCAAGTGGTTACAGAGTATGGGGGCAAAGAATTCAACAACCTCTTAGCTTTATCCCCTAGAAAAAGTGGAAATAAATAATGCCTAATAGTATCATTGCTAACACCATTATATTTGAATATTACATAAAATTTTAGGAAGCTAACTAAGTGTAGTTTAGGATCTTCAATAAGAGTTCCCCTAAACTGAGAATTTTGAATCATCTAAAAAATGGCATGTTTTATTTCAAAGTTATTAGCTTGTATAGTAGGTCTATTGATACTCTAGAGGATTCTATCTACTATATAATTAGTATACTACCTTAGAGGTCCAAGATGGTCCTGATCTTGTACTGGTTTAGCCGTCTCTAAATCTAAAATCTTTTTAGGTTTTTGGATTTCTTTTAGGGTCCTTTCAGTTTTAGAATCAAACAACATAGGCATCTTATAAGATCAAGTACACATGCAACAACAATGCACTAAAAAGCAAAGGAAAAAATTAAACAAAAATTATAAAATAAAGATACATAATACAAGTAGATCTAAATATGTAACCCATTCAATAATATAGTTTAAAATTTAAATATGTGCGTTACTTCCATGTAGTAATAAAAAAAAACTTGATTGGTGTGTAGACATGACTAGTTGAATGCATTATGACATACAAAATACCTTGAGGTCAATTAATAGTTAGGTTTTCTTTGATGTAGATTGTCTACTAAATATGTAATACAAATGTTACAATGTTGTGCATCTATTGGATGAACTAGTGTGTCACTCTATTGAATCAAAGTAGCTATATCTTTCATCAACTGCTCTTCCATCATGCTACAAAAATTGAGAACAATCATGCTTAAATGTTTAGTCTGGTACTACATTATTGTAATGCTCGTTGCTCTGGTACTCAAATTTTGGAGACTAAAATGTTGTGATGCAGATTTATGATGCTACAGCACTATGATGCACTTCAATGCTACCTTGGCTCCAAAGGGGTGCTAAATTATTTGCCTTCATTTTAGACTCTAGTGCTATGATTTCCTTATCTGGTGTTGAGGAATAATAGATGCAAAGTTACTAATGGTTGGAGCGCTGTAGTGCTGGTTCAACACTTATGAATTTCTCTCCTTTTTTTCTAGAACATTTATTGTACAACAATAACTAAAATATCATATTTTCACTATTTTTAATATAATAAAATAGTAAAATATTTGCACTTGACACTCCTCTTCATGCCATCTCGTATATGATGTGGTTTTTTATGACATTAATAATATTTGCAATCTTAATGTTAATTGAAAATGCCATATGAATTTAGATGCAACCTGTTTAGTTTTCTTTATTGGAACATCATTTGAAGTGCTATATTAAGTAAGCCATTTTGACTCATTATAAATATCACATTTATTCTTAGGGGACCTCAATATAATATATAATCATTTCAACATGCATCATACTTTTTATAACATAAGCCTAAATCTTGAATTATCTTCTTTGTTTCATAATAAGAGTTTGGCAGTCAAATATTTTCAATTAATTCCCTTAATAACTCAAGTAACATAGGAAATGATTTTTTAGTACAATCACCAAGGAACTTTATTTGAAGTAGCCTAACAAGAAAATGTAGTTTAAAGAATTTTTTACATCCATGAAATAATTATTGTTGTGATTCACTTATCGATATATAAAACATTGCACCAGCCACACTAAGCTTACTAATTTCAGCATCTGAAAGATCATCCATGGTATTATTTTCAACCCAAATGCATCATTTAATAGCGCTTCCACGTATTTATTAGCATCTTCAGCAATGTTAGAAGTTCATCCTATTTCATTTCTAAAGGAAGTTTCTCCATGAGCAATCCATTTGTTATATCCGGGTTTGAATCCTCCCAAAAGAAAATAAGCTTCAACATCCTCTCTTTCCCTACAAATACCATTTTCACAATCTCTACATGGGCATAATACCATTTCACTTGTACTTCCATTACTAAATGCAAAATTTAGAAATTTTATAACTCCTTCCTTAAAACCTTTGTTACTACCTGAATGAGACATGCAACTTCTATCTATTTCCATACTTAAACCTTCATATAAAAAAGAAGAAATGATTATTAGGAGACTATGATTAAGATAAGTTAGAAAATACTAAAAATCACACATTCATATGACATAATTAATTAATGGTAAGAAACCATCATTTTTTTTCTTAAAAAGAACAAAGTTATTAAACAACCAAGTATGTGTTGTAATGGAAAACATGAAATTGTAATTACCAAGAATTCCAACATATTCTCAATAAAATTGTAGAGGAAAACAATAACCCATGATAATAAACTTTGTGCATGACACTAATTTGATAAGAATATTCCAATATTTAAAACCTTATTAATTGTGTTTGATATCAAATTGTAAAATGAAAATCATCAAATTTTCATAGTCGAATATGATGAGATATCTTTAAACAATTTTGCAAAATTTAATTGTTTCAATTGGAACATTTTGTAATAAACTAAAATTTGAGTTTAGGTTCATCATAATTCTTCATCTTCTTTAATCCTTATTATAAACGTGTACACAAAGTAGAGTGACTAACCCATGCTTTGAAATGCAAATCAACTTGTACATTTTAATATTCCTTTTGACTGGGCCAGTTATTTAAGCCCCAAATTATTGTTCATTAACATTTTCTTATTAAGATATGTTACATAACATATATGAATTTATCAATAATTATTAGGACATAATTTGATGTAAGGATCACAATGTTTATAAGCACATTGGCTCTTGATATTATTCTTGTTGCCAATTATTATGATTTTCACATTCTTTCTTTTTGTTCTCATTAGCTTTCTTTTATTAATCCCAATTAATTTTTTAAGTTTCATTCTTATAGTACTACTTACATTTAATTACTATTTTCTATATCAATCCATTATTGTGATAAGAAAAAAAAATTGTTGTATAAAAATTATACAACTTTAGCCACAAATGGTTAGAATTTATTTAAGAAAAAACTACTTTCATGAGGATCCAAAAAAAAAAAAAGAAATTCTAAAAATATCCAAAAGCAAAAAATGAATTATCATAAATAAAACCAAACAAATCATCAAAATTGGAATATTGAAAGAATGGAACACATAAGTCCTTATTCTTCTCTTGAGCTTTATGAAATGCCTCATTCATTATTAAACCCAGACTCATCTAAGCATGATAAGAATATTGCATCCAAATCAGCTCAATAATAAAAAATATCATATTACACCAAGAAGAAGAAGAAGAAGAATGATGGGAAAGGTCCTAAGCAAATAATGAACTAAGTTCAGTACAATAGAAGCATGTGCAAAGTTAATAGAATAAGATAACTAACATATAGCACAGCTTGACTTACCTATTAACACAACAAACATAACTTTATCTAACATGAGTTAATGGAAAATGATAACTCAACAAATGTAACTTTTAAGCTTTGAACTATTTCTTTATTTTCTTACGTTTTTATGTATTTATTTTTTCAACCTTGTTGCTACTATTAACCATCTTGAAGCTTGGTAGAAATAAATGGGTTATCCTTAGCTTTAATGGTATTATTAATTGGTTATATAAGAGTACCAAAGCCATGACAAGTAGGAAGTGAATTATCAAAAGAATAAGGGTTGGGAGAAGGTAAAGAGGATAAAGTAATGGTGGACATATCAAATCTCCCATAAGAAACCTCTTCTTGCTTGTAAACTTTGGTATAGTTGGCTCTTATACCTCTTGTTTCCTATTAAATTTGGTATAGTTTGTTAGCACAGATGAAATAAAAATTGCAAGATGCAGCTCAACTGGGCGGACCACCTACTCTAGCCGCAACTCCATGCTCCAAATTCTCTTCCATTCCAGACTTCGTCCAATGGCCAGCAAACACCTTTTCTTTCCCTCTCATGTTATAACTTATATATAAGGAGACTCATGTGAAGCAAAAAGTTTAAGCTCTATTTTATGATATCTGACAGTAAAACCCATTTCTTCCTCTACCTTCTTTCCTATGTCAAACATTTACAGGTCTTTCTTCATGGTATTAGAGCATCGAGCTTCACCTCCTTTCCTACTCAAATGGTTGATCAAGACTCATCATCACCCATTCTTTCAGCGTCCTCACTATCCACCAAGATAGAGAAATTCACCATCCATACTCCCCTAAAGTTTCTCATAACCAATTTTAAACTTATAGTTAACCTACATCTTACAAATGAGAAATATGTCTTTTTGAGTTTATAGATATACAAACTTTATTTAGCTAATTTGTTTGAAGGATCTCACGGGACATCAAGCTTATCCTAATATGCCTTCCACTCACTCCAACATTTTCCCTGGTCAACTTATTGATCAAAATCTCATCTCCTCCCTCCTCTCCATGATTTCTCCCTTGGTTCTGCCATATATTCTCCATCTATCCACTACTAATGACATTTGGCTTACATTGGTGAATCATCTTCAACCTATGAACAAGTCATAGGTAATCCAGCTAAAGAATGAACTTTATAATAACTAGATGAAGTAAAATACCATTAACTAATACCTCTCTCAAATCAAAACTTTTGTGGATAACATCCCAGCTGCAATCTTAAACGTCGACTCTGAGAACATCATCTTATATATTTTGAGTAATATATCATCAACCTACAATTCCTTCAAAACCTTTATCAAAACCTCCTTAGAACCAATTTGTCTTGAAGTTCTACACTGCTACTCTGTAGTGAGGAAATAAACCTTTAGAATGAGTCTCAAAAGGTAATCACATTCTCATCGAACCATCTAGATCTCTAATATGGTCGAACAAGATAAAACTACTGCAGGATCAACCTTTCAAATCGCGATCATGGATCCCCTCACATCAAAAGTAACCATTCTCCACCCATCAGCAACACCATCCTCCCAATTTATTAGATATGTAAGAAAATTGGTCATGCTGCTCTTACTTGTTTGCA